AGGTCCGGCCATGAATGCCAGGATGGACCGTGGCTTGGCACCAGCACTAGCGGGGCTGCGAGAGAAGGTGGCCCTGCTCCTCCGCCTGCCCTGTGTGATGTCCTGCAGACCCACGGACATCAACGGGGCAGCTCCAGCAGCCAGAGCCACACCATGAAGCCTCTCTTGAATGTTTATTGGAGATGTACTGGACACCATGAACTGCCAGGGTGCAAGGGACTGAAAGCCAATGCTTTGGGGTCAGGAGGGAGTAGCTGGAAGACAGACAGACAGCCTCCCTCCCCGCCCGATGGTCCAACAAGCGCCGCGGGCCAGCCCTACCTCCTGCTCCATCAGCAGGGCAGTCTGCATAGGTTAACACCAGCAAAACATGGCCCTTTGCCCATGTTTTTCCACCCAGCTAGGAACAAAGCCCTGCTAAACTCGCGGCGACTCCTACACAAGCAGGTTATTCTTGCCACTCAAGGAAAGAAAACGCATCTTGCCCTATTAAATCCAGAGCCTTCAAAGCAAAGTCAACATGCATGTCAATAGTTTGGTCGGGGGAGATGAAAATCCTCTGGCTCCTCCATACTTACTGGCACACCTCTGTCCCGTTGAGAAAAGTTTCACACTTGCCTCCGTTGAGGCAGGATTCGGCAAGCTGCGTGCACCGTAAACCTGCAAAGAGAAGGAGAGCATTAGCCACAGCACAGGTCCCGGCGGGGCAGTGAGGGGGGCTGCATTCCCTGGTGTCGCTCGGATTGGGGACAGGCTTGTCAAGACCCCAGGAGCGCCTTGTCCCTGCACAGCCCGGAGGGGGGTGCAGCACCCAGCAGCCACTACCCACAGGGTGATGGAGGTGGGCAGGGACCGCGTGGCCTCAGCGCTGAGAGGCTCACCTAAAAATAAACTCAGGGTGGGCTTGAGGGTAGGCTCTGCCTTCTCCTCCAGCGGGAGGGCTGACAGAGAGAAATCCCAGAGCAGGTCCTTGAGTGACAAATGCCATTTGGGAAAAAACACCCGCCCAAGGGCCCACGAGTTACCAATAAGTCAGTAATGAAATGAGTCGTCTGTCACAACTTGCTATGAGTAAAGGTTTCATTGTCTGGCCCTCAGAGCCAAATTCTGCACAGCAACTTGCTGAAAGGACCAGAATCACTTGCAATTTCCACCCCGGATTCACTCTTCCCCTTCTCTGCCCCGCTCGCTCTTCACGGTAACCGGTTCCGCGACACGCGGGTGCAACCGGAGCAGTTTCACATTGAGCGACAACAGCTCCACACCCCCAGAGCCAACCTTCTCCCCCAGACAACTGCTGAGCCCCACGAACACCAAGGGACACCCCGCTGCCCTCGGGGCTCTGTCCCCAGCCCTGCATGTCCCCCGGGGGATGGAGCGAGGTGCTGGGGACCACTCCGGTCAGGCACAACTTTCTGAAAACTTTGTCTCCGAAGGGCCCGGTGCCAGGTGTAGCTCTCAGCCCGGGCGGTCCCGGTGCGGAG